CTTCCCAACTGAGAGTTCCGATCTTAAAATTTTCATCACCACACAAAGAATAACGCTTACAAATCTTAAACGTAGAATAGAGCAACAATCCGACAAGCTGGGCGCACTTTATGAATCACTTGTTCAAGCTTCCAGCAACAGTGACGATACTACCTTTCAACCCCAACTTGATGCACACTGGGAAGACAAACGAGGGGACACCCTACTTAACCTTGCAGGGAAGATTACTCAACAACTCGACAAAAGACTGACTGAATTAGATTGTCAAGAAGCAACGCTAACACTCATAAAGAACAATTACAACACTACTCCAGCCGTGACAGCGCAGAGAGAATCAGAACCTCAAGCGACACTAGTTCACCCAATGAACTCCCTCACAATCGAACAACGCCTCCTTAGTAGCGAGCTCAAAGTACCAGAATTCCATGGTGACCCTACCGAGTTCCGTGCCTTCTGGGAACTCTTTGAAGAACTTGTTCATAAACAACCATATTCCAACATAGCCAAGCTTTCCATATTACTAAGCTGCTGCAAAGGCGATGCAGGCACGCTTCATTGAGAATGATTCCACGAACAGGAGACTCTTATGAACGAGCAATCCAACAACTTAAGAATCAATACGAAGACCCTAAGCGAATCACTATGCAAATGATTCACCAACTCAAGTCACTGAAACAATGTCCCGATAACCCACGTGCATTACGCAATAATCTTAGCGATATACAAGCCATTATAGCTACCATGCAAAGACAAGGGGAAGTAGTAGACTCCACTTACATGACGACTATGGTAACCGAGACCTTCCCTAAGAACATACAAGAAGAGATAGCACGAAAGAATTTGACAGTGGTCGAGAATGGACCATGGAAGATCTCATTGCCAATCTCACTCTTATTATTAGACGCCGAGAACATATTGAAAGTCGCAATGACCACTTGCATGAACACTCTGTCTTCCACATACGCGTCCGCGACAAACACACCATTCAGTGTATTGGATGCAGCCAAAACCACACATTTGCAAAGTGCGACAAATATCGGACAGCTTCACAGAAAATTACACGACTCAAGACTATCACTGCATGCTGGAAATGCTTTAGCCCTCGTCACAGGACTGCCGCTTGCTTTAGACCCAACTGCATGCACTGCGGTGGACATCACAATTCCATAATATGCCTCCGACAATCGAACTCATCACAGCAGTACAGAAAACCATGGAACCTACGTTCGCATTCTCCCAGAAAGTCCACACGACAGCATAGCTCACCCCATATAGGCCCACGATC